ATGTATGTGACTTGCTGTACATTCTGGTATTTGATTATCTTTACTGCCTGTCTCACATGTATTCTTTTGATCATTGTAGATATCCAGTGAAAGCTTAAGAAATTATTGATTTTCTTTGCCATTGTTCTCAAACTAATTATTGGTTGTTGTATTCTTCAACAGATTCCACTGTCTCATATTTCTGATGCTGTTTATAAAACAGCAGCTGACTGGATTAACCAACTGTCCATTGCAGCGCTTGGTTCATTTGTACTATGGTGTTTAGACAGCATTCTTGCAGACTTGGCAAGCCAGCAAGGTGGTTCTAAAGGCTCTAAAAAGGGCACTCAGCAAGCATCATCAAAATCTCAGGTGAGTTGCTGGAAATATTACTGTGGTATTTCTACTTTGTGTCTTACACTTGCCTGAACATTGGTCTGATGCATGACATTATCGAGTTGTGGATTTTTCTGATTTGCATGAATGTTCAGAGGTTCCCTGCGCTTAGGCTAATTCTGCAGGTACACTAATATAGAGTTTACTATGTGTATGTTACAAAGTTCTTGGTTCAATTTGGAGATATATTCATATATTTTACACTCTTTTAGAATGGTGTCATGCCTTTGATGTCCCGAGCTTCTAAAAATCAATGCGTTCTTAATTTTCATTGAATCATATATTTAGACATGAAACAATATATGGTACACTGGTACTGACATTTGTACATTTGTCATGTTATTCTGGAGGATTGAGGAGATGGAAAGAAATAAGAACTTTTGCATTTTGATTTTATTAGATGAATTCATCTTTTCCTGCAAACACTGGTTGTCATTTGTATGTGATTAACACGGAAGCATAGGTTATATTCATTAAAAAGCAGTAATTACTGGCAGCTCGCCATGCCAAAAATTGAAACCTTGACACATCGAATTAATTTATGTGGCATCTATGAGAACAGTCTTTGAGGGGCAAACATGTGCCAATGGAGAGGTTCCAACCCCCGTAATTACTATCAGTCCCTAACCCTTGCATATTACTTGATGTGTATGGGCTTCAGGACTGTGGACTTCTTAACCCTACTGATCTCAATTTCTTAATGGAAATATGCTGCCTTTGTCATATTTTCATGGATAGCTTTCCCTTACGTCTGTGTGTTAACGATGCACAAGCTGTGCAAGTAGATGCAGGAGCCTCAAATGAGCTTGGTGCTGACTTGATGCCAGGCTCATGAACCCTAAAATTTAAATTTATAAACATCAACCTGTTTTTCATTTGAGTTGCACTTTGTTTCTCTCCTTGAAGTGGTGTCCGTCCTAAAAACAGAGGTGCAAGCACGGGCTTCTTTCTAGTACTAATTTGGTAGTCAACACACTTGAACTTACATCTTGAAATCCATTTACTATTAATTGACTCGTAAACCAACCACTGGTGAATGCAGGCCATCATCTGGTGGGTTACCAATTATGTTGTTGTTCCATAACCGCCATTCCTCCTGACATAAAATTGGAGATGGTCAAATTTAGGCTTGAAACTTAAGAACTTAGATTGCTATATTTTAGCTGTGGCATTGTTTTTTTAGCTGTGAAGGCCAGGTTTGACATGCCCCTATTAGTTGCAATGTCAGAAACTTGAGATGTTCCATAAAGGCTTCTGTCAGAAATATACATATCAAAGCCATTTTGGTCAAATCAGGTGCCAAAGATGATTTTTTCATGAAGCATCATGAAAAGCTCTATTTGGAGTATGTAGGCAATGTGATTCCCTTTCTTATATCTGGTACGTTGTTATCCTTTCAGTTGGGATATATAGTGTATACACCAGTCATCTGATTACTACATTTTAGGTTTCTTTTAATAATGATAGGGTGCTTTAGGAATTCAATGCATAGGATCATCTCTCACAAAAGCATTTGGAAGGTGGTTTTCAGTAAGAATCTGATAGAGTGATTTTATGAACAAAATGGACTTTGAACACCACATACAACTTCAGGTGCTTCTTGGATGCCAAAAATTTGGTTTTTGAGTAAGTGAATCAGGATTTTCTTCCACAATAGCCTGGCTTAGCAAGGCTTTCGTTCTTCTTCCTTCTTGACGAGGCTTCGATGTGTGTTGTCTTGAGAGATTTGAGCACCTACCATATGATTTATTTGAATATGAACAGATCATGCATGCATCTTTTTTTTCTTTGTTGAAGCATCCACAAGACAACATGTAGTAGCCTGCTTTTTTTTAATACCCATGGTTAAACTTGAGCTCCGACCTATATCTCACTAGAACTGGTGCTTTTACTCCTGGGTTCTGGCTCCAGCAATCCAGAAGGTTTGATGTGCTGATAACATGGTTTTTATCTTTTTTCTTAATAATAATGAGGCACTTGCCCAGATCCTCAGCCACATTTGCGGCTTGTGTAATTTGGGACATTTAATTTGGTGTATAGCCATCTGTTGATGAAAGGGAACATACGAACTACGAGAACTCAGCATGTCTTGGCCAATGTTGAGCTGTGGTTGTTCGCAGGATCCATTATCTGGGTTTTTTTGTAACAACTTTCTTCTCTCCATTCTATTTACAACCAGATTAGTCTACTTGACATGCTTTCCTTTACTCTCTGAATTAAAGCTGCTCTTTAAATCCAATACCTCAGTGGTAATAGCTGTACTTGCAAACTGAGTTTTGTCTTTTTCTCTATATCTTTTATCATGGATAGATTTGTATTTGAAAACTCTTTACTTGGTCTATGAAGTTTATGTAATAAATGAAATGACAGGTCGCAATTTTTGTGGTTCTGGCAATGGTGTTGCGACGAAAACCTGATGCTTTGGTTAATGTATTGCCAACACTTAGGGAAAGTTTAAAGTATCAAGGACAGGACAAACTTGTGGTTATTGTATGGATGATAGCTCAGGTAACTGAATGATTGTTTGACTTAAGCAGTCTGCAATATGAGTACTTATAGTCATTGTTAGCTCAACTTTGCATGTCTTCTTGTTGTAGGTGTCTCATGGTGATTTGGCAGTAGGATTGTACTGTTGGGGTCATAACCTTCTGCCTATAGTGAGTGGCAAAAGTTCTAATCCACAGTCCAGGGATATTATTTTGCAGTCAGTGGAGAAGTACGTAGGCCTTGTAATCCTCCTTTCCTTCACCCCCACACCTCTCCTTTGCTTTGAACTCTCTAATTTTTTTAAAAATTCTATTTGGTTGTAGAATTTTGGCTGCCCCGAAAGCTAGATCAATATTGGTAAATGGTGCTGTTAGAAAGGGGGAGCGCTTGATGCCACCTTCTGCACTTGAAATACTGTTACGAGTTACCTTCCCTTCATCTTCAGCTAGACTAAAGGTGGGTATTTTATCTGGACAATTGTAGTATTGGTGATTGGAGGTGCTATAGTTCAAAGCTCTTAATTTATTTTGCATGTGGTGTTTCATGTAGGCTACTGAAAGGTTTGGGGCAATCTATCCCACCCTAAAAGAGGTGGCTCTTGCCGGTGCTCCAAGAAGCAAAGCAATGAAACAAGTATCACAGCAGATACTGAGTTTTTCTCTAAAAGCAGCTGGAGAAAGTATGGGAACTTGATTTGATTGTATTTTCACTCTGCAATCTTTCCCCCATCCTGGGAAAAGGACAAGTCTTGAAGTTGAGGCTAACATATAAGCTATCTGTGACAGGCATTCCTGAGTTATCTAAGGAAGCAGCTGGCATTTCCATCTGGTGTTTGACCCAAAATGCTGATTGTTATAAGCAATGGGTAAGTTGTTTTGTTTATTTTTTTTATTTTTTTTTATAATGAGTTTTATGTTCATAGATGCTAGCTATGTTTTGTCCTTATATTGTCGCCCCTCCCTCATGTTATGTTAACTAATCTTGTCATGAACTGGAGAAACAGGATAAGGTTTACCAGGATAATCTAGAAGCTGGTGTTGCTGTTCTTAAAAGACTCTCGGAGGAATGGAAGGAGCTTTCAGTGAAACTGGCTCCTCTTGATCCTATGAGGGAAACTGTCAAGAACTTTAGACAGAAGGTAGTTTCTTGCTCTTTTCTTTTACATGTTCTCTTTTATCATTTTCAGATTATTTGGTGTCTGTATTACAACTTCAATGTAAAAGCTGTTCCCCATCACAGATGCATGTTGTGTCTGAATTCTTACCCTGTAAAAGTGCTATCCATGGTTTATGAGAAGGGCTTTTTGTAATTCTTGGTTTATGATTTTTTCTTATAGAATGAGAAAGGAATGGAACCTGAAGCTGATGCTACTCGTCAAGCACTCTTCAAGGAGGCAGATAAGCACTGCAAGGCACTATCAAGAAAATTATCGCACGGCCATGGTTGCCTTAAAGGTATGGCCGTTGCTGTCATTGTATTGGCTGCTGGTGCTGCCATTATGTCATCAAACATGGAGGCCTGGGATTGGAAGGAGTTGCCTGTATTTATTAGTTCTCAATTCTCTTTCTAAGGAGAGAGTTTTATGATTGTCAACAACCATTGGTGCAAAGCATCGACTTGTTTTTTCTTTTTAGGATACTAGCTTTCCTCAATTTTGCACTCTTTATATTTAACGGAGAAGGGCCAAAATTTTTGATAAACCATTTAGGATCCTTGTTTGGTGTTTCACATGCGGCATGAGAACCTAGGCAGTTACAATGTCGAGAAAAGGACGCACGATGGGTCCGAGGTGGGAAACCATTCGATGGGTCTCGTTTGTTTTAAACAAGTGGATCGAAACTAGTGTTTTTGTGTTTTTTCGATTTTGAGGTTGTGGGAGATCAAATTCATGTTACATGTTTGAAATATATATTTTAATTACTTAGAGGGAATGGGGTAAGGAGAATACCAGTTTGCAAATGGTACCTTGAGCCAGCGGGCTGCTTTTACATCGACGAAAACACTGGTTGAAAAATGCTTTGCATAAACTACTGGATCTCGATAAAAACAATGTCAATGATTAAATTCTAGTTCTCCTAGTTTCTTGGCATTTCCCACAAAGTTATGGACAAAAGAAAATCGCCCGGGCTGAGCTGAAAGTATTTCAACAACTGGAGTTCAAATGCTTGTGTAAATTGTGCAGGTAACAGACCCCTTTAGCATGTAAGCTTGCCAAGGGCCTGCTGTTTCTAATCATAATCTTCAGGTGTAGCCCAGGGGTACCTCAGATAATCGTTCTTGATTTTTGAAGGATCTTCGGGTTTGGACCATGGGTACTGCAAGGATGGATCCCGAGGAAATTTCCTGAAGTTCAGAAATGGTGCCCACAGCAATATCCTGCACATGGGCGAAAATAGTTCCATGTGTCAGATGAACATTATTCTAGGTGAAATGAACTTACAGTATACTAGCTTAAAATTGAAAATACAACTCACCCTGGAAAGAAAATGAAGACGCACATGAATTGCAAATACGTCTCCAAAAGCTTTCTCCTGTACAATCTTTTCCAAAGCCAGTTCAAGATGATAGGCTGCCGTATAATTACCATAAAAATTAAAAGAAAAACGCATAAATAGTATTCAGCACCGAACAGAAAAAAGTGGAAAATGAGATTTAATAATTAAGTACCCAGGAAAAAAAAAGAAGAAGATACGATTTATCGAGAAAAAGAGTGGAAATGAAGGAATTCACTCACTGGCATCAGAATGAAGTAACAAAAGGTAACAATAGCCAATTGTATCAAAACCGATGTCAAATCTTCAGGATTATTCACTCCAGTGATGGCAAATGCGGGCCGCTCAATCTGATGGAATTGTTCCAATCGAAGTAATTCTCATGAAAGACTAAGGTTTTTTTTTTTTAATTTTCACCAATAAGCATAAAAAAGAAGGGTTAAAGACAGAAAAGGCTTACAGTAGCTAAAAGTGCAGCAAACTGAATTGCCAAGCTAGACTTGTTTGCTTGATCGTGGTCTTCAGGCTTTCTGCTAACGCTTGTAACTTTCTGCTTTAAACAAACGGAGACGTCCAATTTTTTTTTATTTTTTTATTTTTATAATTTGCTTAGAACTTTCTCAAACATAGATGTGAAATTAAAAAAACATGTAAGAACATTTAAAGTGCAGAAGAAGAAAATAGTCTACCTTAACAAGCTTGGTATTGTGGAATGGTTTGTATTTAGCTGTAGTACACAGAGAAGTTCTTCTGCGCTGAGAAGAGAGAGGAGGCAAAGCCTTGGGGCTTTGGAAGCTGAAACAATAGCTCATGTTAGAGCTCTTTCTGTGTTTCCTTATCCTTTTTAAGCGTTCAGTTTCATGGCATAGGATGAACGGGGCTCCTTGAGGCAGGGATTTTCAGGGTAGAGAAAACAAGAAAAAGGAAAGGCCAATGAATAGAACTTCAAATATTAGTCGTGTTTTCATTCAAGGCCACAAGAAGTTCGACTGGATTATGATCATCTTGCAAGATAGTAGTGGAGGCCTTTTTGCCTGTTTTTGGCCATCCATCTTAACCATAAGGATTGGTAAACATCTAAGCAGGCCATTGTTGGGTTAATGGTGGATTTGATCCACCTACTCTTAATTTTGTTTCAATTTAGTCCTACTATAGAAATATATATTTATTTATTTTAACAAAATAAGCTAATAAGTAATAACATTCCCAGCTTTTTATTTTTGTAACCATTTGACCCTTCTATTAAACATAATACAAAGTTATTAAGATAAATAAATATCAAATTTTGTTATTTTTAACATATAATGGCTTAATTTAAAGTGTATCTAGTATTGCGGTTGAATTATAATTTTTCAAGTTTTTGAATTTTTTTATTTGATTTTTTATATGTTTTTAAATTGTTTTAATATACTGATATTAAAAATAAATTTTAAAAAATAAAAAATATTGTTTTAATATATTTTTAAATAAAAATATTTTAAAAAAATCATTATAACTAATCCAAACACTCCCATGAACCATCACTAACGGTTTCTAACGGTAATTGAATGAAGGATGGCATTTATACAGTACAAAAAAGAAGAGTTGAGGACATGATATTGGACTAAAGGGCTAAAAGGATAAGATGCACCATTGACCCGCCATTTCCTTATTGTTCTTGTACCATATTCTACCCATTATCTGCCACACAACAAAAAAATCAATTTGATCAAAAGAGAAAAGAAAAAAGAAAAAAGAAAAAGAAAAACAGAGAGAGAGAGAGAGAGAGAGAGAGAGCTTATCATCAATGTATGCTCGGCTGGGCTGGTGTCCATCCAGTCCTTGGCACCTTATATTAAATACTGGCATCTCAAATTCCCCACCCCTCATTCTAAAACATGCGAGACTTCAGGAATTTAAGATTTATTGATTTAACTTTAATGAATTGTTTTGATAGTAAATACTAAATAACGCTTTTTTTTTTAATTTTTTAAATTTAAATATGAGGAATTGAGGATGTTGTCTAAAAGAATTTATTAAATTTTTTGGGGATCGGTTATTCCCTATCACTAATAAAAATAAAATAATAATACTTAAAGGTCTTGATATCTGTGATATATTAAATATTTTTTTGAAAGTGTAATAATGATTATTTTTTAAATAATTTTTTATATTAAAATATATATTAAATTTTTTTATTTTTAAAAAATTATTTTTAATATTAGGATATTAAAATAATTTAAAAATACTAAAAGTATATTAATTTAAAATTAATAATTTTTTTTTTTTTTAATTGTTTTTTAAATACAGAAACAATCAGCCGTAAAAGTTGTCTGCCGCGACATTTTCTCGCATGGTTATTTACTTACTGTATTTGATGAGATTTTATTTATAAAATAAAATGGAAAAAGGAGGTGATTCTGAGAAGAAATCTACCACCACTCTCTCTTTGTTTGCCGCTCTGTATGGTGCGAAACTGATGTAGGAGCATGGGACCTTTTTTTCCCTCTCAAGATTGACTTAAAGAACTCAGATCCGGTAAAAGATACAGACAACATAAGCCCTTAAAACCTCTCGAAGCTCTCATCTCTCTGAATTTTTCTCCTTTTCTTTTGCAGTTTTAGCCGGAAAAAAAATGATTGCTTCAACAATCTCAGCTCAGCTCAATCTCAACCTCCCTCCTCTCCTATACACTCCCTTCAATACCCTCTTGGAAGCTACCAGACCCACAAGAAGAAAATCATCACTCTCTTCCCATTTTCATATTAAGTCCAACCCCAAATTGTGCTCCAACCGTACAGTGCTTACCAGGGTCTGTGGTGATGGCGGTGGAAGTGGTGCCATTGATGCCAGTCCGCAACAAAAGGCTAGTTCTGTCTACTCACTGCCAATGCATCGTGTATATTGATTGAAGAAGCTTTTCCAAGCAATGGTTTCTTGATGTTTATTTAGGCCGTGCAGATATGTTGATGGTGTTTAATATTGGTTTTTCTTGCTTATGATGAATGATGACAGCATCTTGGTGTTCTGGCCAATAATTTATAGGTTTCTATTTGTTTTCTGTTTTGATTCTATCAAGCACGTGTAAACGTGGAGCCAAAGAAAATAAAAAATAAAATAGGGAGCCCTTATCAGTAGTGTTTTGCGATAAATTCCTGGTCATTTACCTATCCCTTTAACTAGCTAAAGTTTCCGAAGAAGCCAACTGTGATTCTAGTATTTTCTTTAGAATTGGCGTTTCTTTTATTATGTTTCTATTGTATTTTCTTTCTGGAAACCCTTGGGCTTGATTGAGTGGTAACACGATAAATTAGCACTTGGTTATAATAATCAGGGGATGACTAAAGTTCCTCTTTTCATGCTAAAAGTGATGCATCTTTTCTCTAATTTCAGAAGTTGAACCTTGCCAATTTTGCATGTATGGGAAAGTTTACAAAACGATCTTGGTTTCTTCAGTAACAAAAAATGTGTTTAATTGAAACTCCTAACTATATTGACGCATTTTGATTGTTATGGATCACATTTCGTTTATTTACTTTGCTGTATGCTGTGTAATTTGTCATTGATTGTAATGTTTCAGATTATGATATTTTTTTTTATTTTTTTTTTGGCAGAATTAGAATCTGAAGTTGAGAGCCAGCAGACAGAAATACACGCCATTCAAGTTGAAGAAGTTGGTCTTGCTATATCAGCAGCTTTTCGGTTACTCACAAAACTTCTCGATTTGGAACAGTTTCGGCGCGCTATAAACTCTGCCCATTTCACTAAATTGCTCCATAAAATCCTGAAATCAAACATTCCTCTTCGGTACAAAGATTGGGTTGCTGCTTGTCTTGTTAAAATCGACTCTTTGTATGGTCCTATTTCCATCCTGGACTTCGAGTGTCCGATCGACATGGAAGTTACCCTTTACGAGAAGATACCAAGACTAATAGAGCAAATCAGATCTGCTTTCTCTCTAGAAGCACAAGAAGCTGCAGTTGTAGAACTCTACAGGATAATTTCCGAGGGAATGGTAGATGCCACTCGAACTGTTGCTTCTGAAGGAGGAATATTTCCGTTGGTGAAACTAATATTTCCGTTGGTGAAACTAATAGAGGAAGTGAGAAGGCCGTCGAAGCAGCCTTATCCATACTATATAATCTGAGCATGGACAGCGAAAATCATGCTGCAATTATAGCTGCTGGGGCAGTGCCACCCTTAAGAAGAATTATTCTGTCGGAAAGGTCACAATGGAAACGAGCTCTTCGTTTGCTGAGGAACTTACCTACATGATTAGAAAAAAATCTGAAGTCCATAGTTACCGGGAGACAGTAGCAAAGAATTGAATGCATTTATGACTCTTGATAAAATTTCACCCCCTTTGTAGAATCACCTAATGAAATATATGAATCTACAAAGATGAGATTTCTTCGATGGGTCTTGTTAAGCTATGGTGATATCATGCCTCTATTCGTAGTGCAGTTTAACTTGATTTCCTTATCCTCCCATTTGCCGCTCTACCTTTGTTACTTCAGCATTTTGTTTCTAATCCGGATAAGAGATGTGTGCATGTGGAAAGATTGCAGCGAAAAAAGAAAAAGATAAGCCCACTTCCCTGGCAGTCCCAGGCTCAACAAGGACCTATTTTTAAAGTTTTAAATAAATTCAAGAAAATTACGAACAAGAGAAACAAATAAAGAAAATGATATATTTATAATATATGCATAAATTACTGAACATCTTAAAGAAACATTGAGTGTGACATAAAATATCTATAAATTTAATTTAGAAAATTTTGTTTATCTCTAACAGAGTCAGACACTGAGGAACAAACAGAGACACAAAAACATCAGGGGCATGGCTTGCTTATCCTGCCACTCTATAACCAAAACACCAGTAGTATTTGCTTCTCTTCCCAGAAATACAAACTCTCCATCCCCACAATCCAACACTGATCCTAAGCCTCCTTCACTTCCAGTTCCAGTTCCCACGACAACAACAAGTACCAGAACCAAAAGCACCACTACTCTACCACTACCAAGAAAGAAAAGAGTCCAAGACAGGCTACAACAACAGCTCAATCTTATGAATATTGAACGCGTCGTTGGTGCTGGCAGTTATCGTGACTATGAGAAGCCCATGTATGTTCCCTTCTCAACTCTAGTGTCTCTTTACTTTCTTCTTTCTATGGATGGTATATATTGATGGGTTTGCTGCTTTCGTGTTTCCATTTCTTATGTTTATGGTAATAAGTGACCAAGAGAAGAAGGAGAAGAAAAAGAAGAAGAAGATGTCGGGATTTATGGAGGAGGGACCAGTGGAGAAGAAGCTCCGAGAGACTGGAGAGTGGGTTACCACCAAAACTGAAGGAGGATTTCGTTCCAATGGTACTTCTTTTCGTGTTACATATGATTTTCTTTCTAATATTTTATGGTCTAAGAAATGAGGGAACCTTATCCTTCTATGAGTTCTCTGTATGTGATTCTCGATCAAGATAACTTAAGGTTTGAACACTTCAAGCAACAAACGGGATATAATAATTTGCTATTGATCAGATGGCAATCAGAAGAAATTCATGAGTTTGCAGATTTAGTTGTTTCCCTATTAATTTGTTTTATCTGAAATTGAACCACTTGGCTATCCTATGTTTCATATAATTGAAAGTCCTCCAGATTTTGACAGTTTCACAGCGTACCAAATATTTTGAGGCTACTTAGCATGACTTTGAATCACACAACAACCTCTTTTCTTGGCCACCCTGAAATTGAATGATCAATACTGGTGTCATGTTGGACTGGAGGAGATGCAAATACCCACCGAATGGTTTGCTTGGATGCTCAAGTAACTCCGGATACCTTCGTTACCCGTAATGGATTAGCTTCCAAAAATGAAGCCGTGTTAGGCTTATTTCAAGTCTGCAAAATTATTTCTTTTACACTTTTCTGCTGTTAGAGACACGATAGAATATCATGTCTATTAATTAGTTTGTCATTTATGTACTCATTTTGTACGTTGGCTTCAACCAACAAAATCACTCCTGGCACCTTATAGACTGAAGAGATTATCACCAGCTAGTTGAAGAACGCAGTACGGTTTGATGTAAATGGGTGTTGTCACCTGGGCTTTATTTTCATTGCTTGCGGATAGTTGTGTCTCTCAAACTGTATGATCACTGGACCTGGTCTGATGAACTTTTAGCTAGATTCATCAGCTTCTGTTTCTGTTTTCACCCTTCCATTTCCTTTTCAATCTTTTGGGATTTAACAGTGAGTGCTTTCCTTGATAAGGACACCCAGTGTTTCACTTGCATCTGATTCTATAAACAATGGAGTCGATCGAAAAAACATTAGTTATATGACAAGCATAACATATTGAGTTGAGATAAACTGTTCTTTCTATTTTATGTAATCTTGCAGCATATGACAGTTTGCCTGGGAAACAAATCTCTGTATTTTTGTTTTTACTCTAGTACACTAGAAGCCAAGAATCTGCCTTCTATTTGCTACTGAATCAAAAACTTAATGTGATTGGCCTGATGCTGTCTTGTGTTATTCTTTTGCAGGTAAAAGGATTTTAATGTTCTCTTTTAAGTGGGCTATACCACTTTATATTTTTATGGTCTTTGTGGCTTCTGGAGTTATAAAGCTACCTTTCAGCTCACAATTTCTTGATGATCTGCTCATGTAAAAATATCAATTGAGATCACTGTGCTTGCAATGTTAGTTTGAGAGTTTTACCGAGTTGTGCACAAAGCTTCCAGCTTTTCCTGCCAGAATAGATATCAATTTAAATGTGGAAAGCTAAAATTAAAGGCTAACCTGCAGGTAAGCGGGAGCATCAAGCCATTGAAATTCCATAATGTAGAGTGCCAGAATGAGTTTGAACAGGTGGATTGTATCTGCAAATAGCTTTATGCTGCATGTTTGTGGCAAGTTGGAAGAAACCAAGGACATGTTGGCTACTTGGTCTTAATTTATCTTGCAATTCCTGTCATCAAAATAATTAAGATATCAGTGACTGGGTAGTAATTCCTACTGAGATTGCAACTTCTGTTTACCAAAAGAAAACACACGGGATGTTTTTTAAGTGTTTTTTTTAATATATTAAAATGATAAAATAAAATAATCAAAAACATATTAATTTAATACTAAAAAAATCGAAATTTTTTTCAAAACATGATGGACTGTAATGTTAAACAATACACTAGTTTTCTTAGAATATCTCCAAACAAATACAGTATTTACAAGAGCTAAATTGATATTATAACTTTTTGAGTTTCCAATGAAAAAAAACCATTTAAAAAATTTAATTGCATTTTTATATATTTAATATTGATACAACTATTTCTTTATAATAACTAACTAATCTAACTTCAATCAAAATCTCTTTTTTACATGCAAATATATTAAAGAAACTTTTAACTATTTTGATCATCATATACTCTTTTTAACTTACAAATTCTCCGATATAACTTTTTCATTGGAGTTATAAAAATAAGGGGTGGAGTCAATTTGTTTGTCTTTTCTTTTTAATTTTTTTTTTTAAATCTTTTATGAGATGCTTTTAAAAAGAAAGATGCTCACTTTAGCTTTAGATTTGAAATATTTACATTTAATATTATAGATATTATAAAATAAATTATTTTTTAAAATATTTTTAATTTAAAAATAAATCAAATTAACATTAACTAAAAGCTTTATACATGATTACTTTTTAATTATTCTCTTCTACAAAATCTCTGTGGTGACTACATATGATCATAAACGTGATTCTTTGTTGCATCTGAGATCCATTCATTTAAGTGAAAACATGATGTCATGATTAAATAATGTTTTTGTAACAAAATAATTAACTCTAAATTGAAAAGAAATCTAATTAGGAAGAAATTGATTATTTAATGATTAAAAAATGATTGGCTTTCATATCAAGATGATTGGAATTACTTTCAGAGACGTTTAAGCCACAAAAATTATTTGCTATTGATATATTTTTTCGCTTTTGATAAGGTTTTTGCTATTGATATCAACAAAAAAACAAAGTGCAGTGCCAAATTTACGTCCATACATGGGAAGTGATAACATGAAGATAGAATATCCAGTTCTCTCATCAAATTTAAACTATCAAAATTGTTTTTGCAAAGTGCTTTTATGATACCACATGGGGATGTAAAACCTCTGTAAAAAAGCACTCGAGAGAGTATAATTAGTGAGACGAAAACACAGTTACGAGGTTACCTGTACAGAAAAAAAAAAGACACTAATTATGTTTAAATTTACAAGGGAAGAAACAGAATCTCCTGCCAAAACAACGACCGCTTTAAATGGAGGATATGTACAAACGCCGCCCATTAAAGGCCCGAAAAGTTGACCCTCCAACTCTTAATATCACCGATATTAGTTGGGTTCGATTAGGGTTCGATTACTACCGCACTCACCAACATCCTCACAGTATGATTAGGTGCCCTCCATTAATTTGCTTTTAGATACAAAGGTGCTTTACTCTTGTAAAGGTTTTCTTTTTGGTTCTTCTTTCTTCTTTTGCACTAAATGCATTGACCATACAAACTGAAGATAGGAGTTTCACTACTCATACTCCTTGTTAATGGAAGAGTTTTTCTAGCAAATTCTGCTCTTCCTGTTTCTTTTCTCCATCGTCACGTGAAATTAAAAGCGAGATTGATCTCAGTTGTTGTTCTTGTTGTTGTTTACCAAGCTAGTCGCTTGGAAAACGATCTGATCCATCCATTCAGCTGACCCTTTCATTTGGGCATTGACAAGAGAAGGAGAGAGATGTTCTATGGGGACAGTACTGCGATCAACTGTGGAACTTTTTCTTTCCCTGTCACACAAGCCACAAGTCCTTCACTGTAGTTTTATCATTCATGGATTGTTTCAAACAAGAATTAATCAAATATTGACAAGTATACTGAAACTGTGCGTTCTCGTGAAACACCTCAAATGCCCTCCTCCCCCCATTATCTATCAACACTCGATCTAGTTCTTGAGTCCAGAGTTCTTTTCAGATAGGCCTTTACTCTTTGGGTTCATGAATACTTACGGAAAACTCACTGTTGTGCATTCTAACGTTTTTATTTATAAACCGGCCATTGGCTATTCTTGTCTGCTATACGTTTCTAAGTTTATGCCATTCTCATTACATTTTTTTTTCATTATGGACTATGGAGCACGCACGGAAATGGAATTTTTTTTGGTATTTTAGGAGTAATTAGTGATATTTTAACATAAGGAAAAAAGACATCCATGAACTATAAAAAAATATACAAATATATCTACCTAGAATTTTTGTATCTATTTTTTTAAAGTAGATATAAAAAATAATTAATAAGACATCATTAATTATTCTTTTAGCATTATAAAATTTCTAGAAACCCAATTTATCTTAAAGTTTCGTATCATAATTAATGTGTAAACTTATAAGCTATATATATATATATATAATCTTCGTATAAGTAATAAATAATTTATATTTCAGGAACGAAAGTGATTGCGTAATTGATGCTGGAATAATGATACTATTTGTAGTCTTATCTTTTTTTACTGGAGGGACTAGATTGAGAACTTTCAAAATTTAGGTACCTATTCGGAGAAAACGTTTCTACAGAGTTAAGAGTAAGAAATACTAAACAATTATGATGGCGCCCCGTGCGAGGGGGCCCGCCAAGAGCCAACCTGCCACTGGTCGGAAAACTTATAGCCAAGAAAGTATGAATATTTAGTTTAGTCAGACCCGAAATATTTTTATTAATAATAATTAATTTATCAAACCCAAAAAAAAACAGAAAAGAAAAAAACCAGCACATCCCTTCACCCTCCATTTCCTCTCTCCAATCTCTCGTTGATCAATTCCCACCCACAAACTCTCTCTCTCTCTCTCTCTCTCTCCTCCCTTCCCTTCCCTTCCCTTCCCTTCTAGAAAATAAAAAGGAGAAGAGAGAAATAGGGCATGATCACCACGTCCCTATATCATTGCTAGATTGGATACAGAGAGGGAAGGAGATCTGATCGATCTCTATTTTAAATTAAAATAAGTAAGCGAAAATAATGGGTACACTTCAGACATGGCGAAAAGCCTATGGCGCTCTCAAAGATTCCACCAAAGTCGGTCTTGCTCATGTCAATAGTGATTATGCGGTTCGTCTCTCCTTCTCTTCCTTTTATTATAAATCTAATCGAATTTCTCTCTCTTTCTCTATTTTTAGATTGATTGATGGATTTTTTCTTTTTTTAAAAAATAGGATTTGGATGTGGCCGTAGTCAAAGCAACTAACCACGTCGAGTGTCCTCCAAAAGAGCGCCATCTTAGAAGTCAGTACTCCTCTCTCTCTCTCTCTCTCTCTTTGATTTTAATTTAATGGGCTCTTCCAGTTTTGTGTTTTTTCCAGATAGTTATTTTTTTTAATGATTTGTTTGTTACAGAAATCTTGGTTGCCACGTCAACGATTCGGCCTCGAGCTGATGTTGCTTATTGCATTCATGCTCTTTCCCGCCGATTGGCCAAAACCCATAGTTGGACGGTATAGATCTCGACTTAATTCATTCGTTGATTTAATTCATTTACTTTAATATTTTTTTCTTGAATTGGAGTTTGGCTTGATCGATATGTGCATTTGTCAATCCAATGCAACAACGTTTTTGTTCGTGGAGTTGTTTAAAGCTAATGTTTTTCTAATAAGAAACCATTAGTTTAGGTCGCTGTTCTCTTCATCATACTGTAATTTACACAGGGTAAGTGGCATTACCATTTATTTATTGGCAGCAAGATTTCGTAGTTATTATACTGTATCAGCTTAGATTTCGTAGTAATTATACTGTATCAGCTTTACAGCACTCAACTATCAAATTCATAGAAGTTCACCATGCATTTACCCTTGTGTTTTGATATTTGTAATTTCTTTGCATTTTTTGCTTCTATTTTCTTTGGTGTTTTCTGGGTTTCACAAAGCTACGTAACTATATTGTTTCCAGATTCTCATGTTATATGTACTGTTGTATCCCATGCAAAAAAATTTCCATTTTTTTTTAGTGCACTTATCTAACTTTGATGCTGAAAGTTTTTGCTGTTGCAAAGTTCAATTTTATTCGATGTGGTTCATATGTTTCTCGCTGATATATTACACCTTTATTTGAGTACGTTATCTGAAGTTCTTGGAATTGTTTGTTTAGAATTTGTTGTTTACTGCTGCTGCATTTTTAACAGGTAGCTTTGAAAATACTGATTGTGATCCATAGATTATTAAGAGAGGGCGATCCTACTTTCAGAGAAGAACTTCTGAATTTCTCCCAGAGAGGACACATCCTCCAACTTTCTAATTTCAAGGATGACTCAAGTCCTATTGGTAACTTGATACTGCTCTCTCTTTCCCTCTCTCCCTCTCGGGCCACAAGCAGTGGCCTCTAACTGCTCTTCATGAACTGAGTACCTTTTATAGTTCTATTTTTTCATTATATTTCTTCTTCTTCAGCTTGGGATTGCTCTGCTTGGGTGCGTACATATGCACTTTTTTTGGAGGAACGGCTTGAGTGCTTCAAAATTCTGAAGTATGACATTGAAGCAGAGCGTCTTCCAAGACCTGGCCAAGGACAGGATAAGGTATGTTCCCAGGATTAGCAATTCTTATTTTTCCAATAAAAGGAGGAAATATCAGAACATAGAAGACAGCAAGATTCTCTAGTTATTGAAAGGAGCATCATCTATTAATTTCTCTCTTTCCCTATTCAGTATCTTTTATTATTTTTTTGTTACTTTAAAAAGAGTTGCAATCTCATTAAAATGCGTGCGTAATTGCAAAGGTCATACTCTCTCTCTCTCTCTCTCTCTTTTGGAACAAAGAACTGCTAAGTCTGTGCAGTAATGCTGCAAGAACGGAGCTGATTGTAATTTTCCCTCGGTATTTGTTGATTCCTCCATGATCTTTTACTCTTACCTTTCTTAAAATACTCTTTTTGGTTATTTTGATGAAAAATTATAATATCTTTCAAGATCCTCCAAAGAATTATCCTCCAAAGAATTACCATGTCTAAAGCCCTCAAAGCAC